TGTCCCACTGTGCTCTACCCCACCAGTCTACCCACACAGGTGGAGCTACAAATGAATGTAGTTGGGGGCTTACCATACTGAAGCAGATGGGGGATCAAATATTTGTTTTAAGATTTCTTTAAAAAAACAACAACTATGCTTTATCATATATATATTGTCACTTTATTACTTGAATTGTTCCACACTGTCCAATGTATTTCTTCCATCATGTCCAATGTATTGGTGATCTGTATCTTCAGGCTATATGTTGTTAAATCCTACCAGGAAAAAAATGCATGACTTCTTGGCAAGAAAAGTCTTTGCTTGTGTGCTTTGGTCTAGTCTTTCAGCCTATCCTCTGGTTTTGGTTTTGTTTCCACTCTATTGGTCCACATATCTGTACTCTTCTCTATGAATTCCAACATTTCATTGATGAAGCTATCCCTGTATTGTCTGATTTCTTTGTATTTCATTTTGGTTTGCCTTGTTGGTTTGATTGCTTCTTCGAAACCTACAAAGTGGAAAAAAACCTGGCTTATTTTGTGTTGTAATGGTTATGGTCATGCAGGTTATTACTGTTTTTTTGAAGTGAACTTCAGAGCCTGTGAAGGTTTTTGAGGGGAAGATCACATACATTGCCTTGACGTCTTAGAGATTCTTTGAGGGGTCCCTAAGCTTGTCCCAAAATAGGGGTTTGACAAATCCATATTTTTGACAATTGAGCGATTTCTGTATATAAAGAAGGCTGAAAGTACGTAGGGATTAAAAAAAAAACATGTACCCAAGGGGGATTGTATTTTAGAAATATATTATTTTATTCATTAAAATGGGTCAAAAACAGGTAAGAGACAAAAACAGAATATTTGTATAGTTTCGTTTGAATGCCTAAGAAGTATGGTTGTATTGTTTGTATATAGTGTAAATACCTGGGATAAAAATGAGCTATGTGCATGAAAAGTATGAACAGAGTCAAAAGGGAAAAAAACAACAAAAGCAGTAGTGGCTATGCTCTGTAAAATTAAAACTATTTCACTATTAGAGTATTTTATTTTATTTTGATTGTTCTTGAGAAGAACATTTTGCTAAAGCATGATATTATTGCAATATGAAAAAATAAAAAATACTGTATTTAGTGTTAGGAGAAGTCTTCAAAATTATCTTAAAACAAGTATGGTTGTGTTTATTTTATTTTAGTTTCATTTCTTTCTTTTGGGCTACCAAGAACCTTTTGCCAATGGTGCCAAGGTATGTGAATGCTATATAGCTTAAGAAGAAAATTAAGTTAATTTTTGCAGAACAGATAATCATCCAGTGAAATACACACTAGCACTGAAGATCATCACATCAAAACTGGCAGAGGATCGCAAAAACGTTAAGGTACACAGTTTGCAAAGAAAGTCATATTCGTGCTGAAAGAATTTAAGTCTGTCACGCGTGCACCATTTCTACAGATAAATAGAGCATTTATCAATCACCGAACACACCGTAACAAAGTTGAGTTACTTTTTTTGTTGTCATTGCAAATGGAATGTGCTGATTTCTCATTGCTGAGGTATTATCTGATCTTTAAGATTGTTAAATGGCAGCCTTGCCCGTGGTGGACATATAAAACAATTCACATTGTTACTCTGTCCCTGAAAAAGATGGGAGTAAACATGCAAACTTTAATTTACAATGTGCTGCATCGACCGACACTTGGAGAATTCAGAGTTGTTCCTCGTAGTCGAGTAGTGACGGGTGTTTCTCTGTACGGTGTTTCGGTTAAAAGCACTGGATCAAGGCTGCCAGAGTCTAAATGTATATGTTGTATTCCATGTCAGAAAAACGTGTTTAGTTAAAAACCACATGTAGCATCATGTCCATGACCACATTTCTTTGCCAAGCAGCTGAAAACAAGTTTGCAAAATGAACTGTGCCAGCAGTCAAAGGTGCTAAAATGATTCTAAACAGAAGGATGGCACTGAAAGTAGTCACTGTCCTCACTACAGAGTCCAAACAACTGCAGAAACTAAAGTGCAAACCAGTGCACTAGTGCCATTTGTAATTATGAAAGATAAGATGCATTTTGTGCATCGGGTTATTTATAAAATGACAGTATAGCAGAGAAAATGTAATTGGGATGGAGGAACAATTTGAGAGATAACAACAGTAAAGCTGCTGGTTCAGAGGTGCCTGTTGGCTGCTGTTTAATCCCTATTATATATTACCACCATAAAGTCTATCCTGTATCCAAGTATTGATACGTGATTATTCAGCCAAGTGCCACTGGAAAACTTGAGTTTTGTTTAGTGAACTGTTGTCATGTTTGTTAAATTATAATTAAGCCAAATGTGTATTTTTCCAATTTATTTACTTGAGTCACTGTTTTTTTAATTGTTTGTTTTTTGCTGTTGTTTTTCCAGTCACCTGATATGTAAACGTAATTTCCAGAGTGTTTATGTAGGAAGTGCCTATATTCATATCCTAAAAACAGTAATCCAGTTTCAGAATACTTGCATTGTATCTGAGGTTGATGTGAGAGAACACGGTCACCCACAGACAGTGCTCTATCTTCCACATAAATACACACGATCGCCACTGTTATACCATTCCACTCACCAAAGCCACAATTATATGCCTGCACACAACACTTATAATACAGCACTCAAGCTTGTCAACATGCTAGCTTTTTTCTTTCTTTGTTTTTGTCTTCTTTTCCATTTTTTGTTGGAACAGCTTGTTAAAAACCACATTTAGAAATGCCACTACTGGAGTTTGTTGCCTTGCATTCATCCTCTAGTCTGTGGTTAGAATGCGTAGCCAATGCAATGTTGCGGCAAAAAGGAGAAGGATTTATTATGCTTGCATGGGTAAAATAGTTAACTGGGTGACAGAAGTGCACCTAAAGCATGCTTATTTTCCTAGAATCGGTAGTCAGATAGACTTGTTAAAGGACTTACTGTTCTGTAAAGCAATGAACATTGGTTTGAGGTGTCACAGAACTCAGAAAGACAGAGGGCATGTGACTGAAGGGCAAACCTACTAATTGAGCCAGTGATCAATACTCAGTAGCTACTGATGATTTCATGGCAAAGCATGAGGACGGGATTGTTTTTAGACAAGCTCTAACTTTTTGTTTTGTTTTTGTTTTTTTAAATCCTTTTTAATCAGTAGATTCCCAACTTCAAATAAGACAAAAGGACAAGGGTAGAGACAATTTGACAGTATATATAGCAACTAAGTGACACACGGTACACACAAACACACGCACAAGACACCGCACAGCACACATGCTGACATGTCAGGTGTCAATTTCACTTGTACATTGAGTGGTGAAGGCAGCATTGTTATTATTTATTTATTTTTACCCAGACTGAGGGACTGGTTCACCTCCCTTCTGTATTTTACTCAGGGTGCCAAAACGGGGAGGAGGAAACAGAGCAGGACATGTGATTCACAGCAAGAGAAGCTGAAATTCAAAACCCCTTCTAGCAGACAAACAGGTTCAACAGTGCAAGAGTGAAATCTTTAACACGGCTTGCTGTAGTGTATGAACAGTTTCCTCAAAATAACCTCAGTACACACAGTACTAGAGCCCTGAAATGATGGTTGTTTATGTATATGTCTTTAAGATAAATGATTTGACGCTTTTTCGTAGAAAGCTGTCATATTATTGTGTAACTTTGGCCACTTCTTTAGGCCTTTATAATTCATTTAGGTGACAGTGTAGAGGGTATTTATGATTAAGAGTGTAGCTGTATGAAAAGCTTAAATCTTGTTTTTACTGCCATTTGTGAATGGGACGGCAGGTTAGCTGACAGTATTACTAATTTCGAGATGTTCTGTGAATTGACCTGAGAATCTGCCTTTCCTCCTCTTCTTTTTCCGAAGCACCCCAACCAGAGAAAGGTAGGCACATCAGGACAACAGAACACAAACAGATTTACAGTATATTCCACTTGTTGACACAGAGCAATAAAGAACTATTTTGTGGAGACCTTATAGACCTAGCAAAGTTTAAAATGATTGGACACATGTAGTCGACTTACTCTTATGCAAATGCCAGTATTGCAAGACAAGCATTCAGTAGTTTATGGACAGCAATTATATGGCACCCTTTACCGAACTGCACGTTTTCATCAATTCCAAACTGAGAAGAAAAAAAAAAGGCCCTGCTTTGATAGAAAGCCATGGGTCCTCGACACTTTGCATGTGAACTAGTGTTAGATCTATTTTCCTCTCCTCTATAGCTGTCTTTCTCTCTGTCTTTCCCTGTTATGTGACCCAATTTTTCTCCGCTCCCAACCCCTATCTTTAAAAGTTTCATGTCCTCTTGGTTCTCCTAATGTGTTTTGCTTTCCTCCTTTTTCTCCCCTTCTCTTGTTTGTAAGTTTTATTTTTGTAATTGTGCATGTACAAGCGTCACTGACTCGATGGATATGTTAAAAAAAAAAAAAAAAGAGATTTCAGCTGCTGAAGCCATGCAAAACGTTTTGAATTGCCCTTAAAATATGGAAGATGTTTTCTGAATGCTTTATATTCTTTCTGCTGTAAAATAATAAAAAAAGGAAAAAATGAAGAAAACTCGAGAACCAACTTTGCAAAGTCTTTTTGTTTCCTTTTTCTTAATTTACGGAAGGCATAGTGGGTTCACCTTTTACCAAGAAAAGACAAATACATGATTTATTTACAATATTTTTTTATTTCTGTTCAACGAACAGTGCTATATAATCTTTGACTTTCACGTCTAAAAGAAATTTAGCCATACATTGGACAACCAATGACTTTATATGTGGATTTCACAGTTCTAACTAAACCCTAATAAATCATCTTAAAGCCTCTTAGCAATATGTTTCAATCACAGATGGGGCATTTTGTGTATGTCTGTATGCGCGTGTGAGGGTGTGCGACTGCACATGCGCTTTATGCATGTGAGGTATTTCTTATTTATTTTGGCTGCATGTGCCAGTGTGAGTGTAAGATGTTTGATTTTTTTTTCTTTCAGTGCAAGCCCTGCCTCGTGCCTGTTTTCAGTCACTGTTTTAGACACAGTACTTCCAGAAACACTCTGAATTCCCTCCTCTCTTCCTGAACTGTTTCCGGATGCCCAGCGCATGGCTGAAAGGATTTAGGAGACTTTGTTTCTCCAACAGGACCTGAAAGACAAGATAAAGCGATTTAGTGAATTAGTCACAGGGTGTTGCTCACATTACTTTGATGTTTTAGGAATAGCATTCACTGAAAACCTACCTCTCTTTTGAGCCCCCTAGGAAGCAGACCTGTTGTTCTGACACCTGAGAGAAAAGGAAACATGGTAAACATATGCTGATAGCTTAGCTGTGTTTCTGGGAATGTCAGTAGAGTTCATTTAAAACAGATGTACTGTACTTTTTCTACTCTTATGATGATGGTTGCTAACATTAGACACGGCCATGGTTTGTATGTGCTATGTAAGTTTAGGCCCTGTGTGCTCATTGTCAGACTATTTTTTCTGCTCTTAGATCTGCATGATGTGAAAAAAGGGGATCTCATAAAAGTACATAGATATGTTCATTTGGTTATCTCAGGCACTCGTCTCTGTTTGAAAGGGGCAGCGACTCAGAAGAAAGTGGGCCTAAATGAGGAAGAGGAGTTAAAGTTGGGGGGTTTTCAGGCAGTAGATAAATGAAGGGGCTGTACCAAGTGTAAGATTTTTAAACTGTAACTAATGCAAAGCTACTCTAGCAGAACACAGCACATGAAGTATATGAAGCTCAAAATGTGCAAATGAGCTTTAAAAGTAAGTAGTGCTCTAGTAAGCATATTACTATGTAACTGTGTATGAATCCACATCTAAAGCACACTCTTTTCTGCAAAATTAAGTCATGTAAAGTCACGTTTGGTCAATGCACGTTTCTTACCATCTCTGTTGATCTCATCAGATATTAGAGTGGAATATCTAGGGCCTGTACCGTCCTGCTCAGAGAGAGGCAGGTCATCCAGACTGCTGATTCCTCGGTCCTCCGCTGATACTGAGGAGAACCAAACAAGCCCACACAGTTGGTAGGAACACCATTGAGAGGTACGGATTCGTGCTGTGAACATTTTGTAATCTAATTCTCACTGGTAATCACAATAAAGCATTCGAAATAATTGAACAAAAACTCAATCTCCTCTCTGATGGCAGAACTTTGGCATGTGAACTTTGGCAGAGCAATCATTGTTCAACACTGCAGCTCTAAAGTAATTACTTCAAGGCCCCAGGACATGACTAGCTTGCCATTAATCGTTGCAAATTATGTTTTATTACTAAAAATGCTAATCAAGGGACTGACACAGGGAATTACTTTGTATAACAGCTATAATAAAGATATTACTTTCCACTCACCAGGTCCTGGATACGGCATCTCAGCAGATTCTGTAATGGGGTGGGCCAGCAGTGGGCTTGAGGCCACAAGCACAAAGGCCCAGGAGAGAAGATGGTTACACTTCATCAGTGCTGATGGAAGTGGCTCTGATTTGCACAGAGGGTGAAAAGGAGAAATCTACGTGCTCTGCTGATCCTAACGGTGTTATATAGTTGAAGCTGTAGCCTAACCCCTTCCCACCCACTTCCTGCATGATGCACAGCAGACACAGACCTTTTCTTGCTGCTACGGACGACAACATCATCCAGAGTCGCACTCTTGTGATAAATCAACAGGTGACTTATAGTCTCAATAAAAAAAAGATGTGAGTTGGCCCATTCTTCAAGGGCATAGTCATATTTTAGCTGCTCTTAAGGTTGATTGAATGTTTTTTTACTGACTTTGTAAAAGGTATCGAGGCAGGTGTTTAAGATGTCACGTCAGTGTAATCCCACGAGGGAGCAGATGGAGAAACAGGGCAGACAAATGACTAATATTTTTATACTACTAGTTCATTAAACTCTTGGACCATTTGAATCCTCTGGCTGTATCTCTGCAAACAAAGCCCAGCAAACCCCTAATAAATCTGTAATTATTTAGAGAGGTGGAGTGGACATGTTAAAATGTTGAGGGCCATGTTGTCTATAAGCCGTCTGACATTTTAAGACAACAAGAAAATGCTTCCATGGACCACTGAATCAGACTGATTGATGCATTTTATTTAGAAGCCTGGCGGTTTTAAGCTTTTATATCTGTGCTTTCACGTCTTAGTCATGCAGTAAAACGAAACTTTATGAGTACACCAAGCATCACTGCTCAGCCTAACAGAGGCTTGGCTATTGAGTATGAGATGGGTGATGGGAGGGGGGAGTTATTTACAAAGTCATATTTTGCACCTCTCTGTGTAATTTGTATATTTATTAGATGTATGACATCAGCGTTCAGTCCCTGATAATGAGAGCCAATGAAGCAACAGTGACATTTTATTTTATGCTTTGCATGCCAGACACTCCATTAGGTGTTGCTATATATCATGAAATGCAATTAAAATTTATATTCTGAATTAGTCGAGGCCAGTGTGCCAATTCCAAGTTATTTCAGCATCTATAATAGACTATGGCTCCCCCAAACTTGATGTTTTTCCTACTCTATGCAGTCCTTTTGACAATTTAATCAAGAATTTCCTCCAGGCATCGGTGTTTTTGGGAAAACATTTTTAATTGCATTTTATAATAGCATTTTTAATGCAGTGTCGCCTGATCGCCATATTCACGAAATCTTTGAATGATATTATGTACTGTAGATGGTGAGATATTCAAAATCTTTCCAACTTTACATTGAGGAACATTACTCTCAAAGTTTTCCACAATTTTTAGATGCAGTTTTTGTTTTTCGCAGATTGGTGAACTTCTGCCCATCTTTACTTCCCAGATACTCTCCCTCTTTAAGATGCTCTTTTTATGTCTATTCATGTTACTGACCTGTTTCCAGTTCAGAATGTTTGTCCAGTTGCTTCTTTTTAATACCACTGACCTTTTCAGCCTTTTTTTTAGCCTTCTTCCAACTTTTTTCAGACATGTTGTGGCCATCAATTGCAAAATGAGCTATAAAATTTTCATAAATCAGTAAAATGTGTCTGTTTACACATTTTTATGTTCTGGTGTGAATAAAATATGAATTTATAAGATGTGCAAAAGTGATGTTTGGTTGATTCACATTTTACACAGCATCACAACTTTTGGAAATTGAGATTGTACTAAAGTTTATTTGAAGCATGTATAAGATTTTATCTGGCTGAATTAGACAACTGAAATTTCTCAGTAAATCACATGATAGGGTCGGGCTGGTTTCTCTGTGGGTTCACCCGAAACCTTGGCTGATTGTGACCCACACCCGTTTTCACACCTTGGCTCTCGTGATTAGGTAGAGGATCAACAGGGGGTCGACAACCCTCCCATGCGGCTTAAAATCTGGGAAAAAAGACTCAAACTCTTTCATGGCATGCATTTTTAATTTCTCTTTGTTATTTGGGCTGATTGGGCAAAATTTTGTATTGTGCTCTAGACAACCCAAAATGTGATGTCTACACACCAGGTCCTAGGAGGTTAAAGAAGTCCAGACGCTTTTCTTTCCAAGCTCCTTAGACTACAATGACCTGGATTACTGAGAACCTTTAAGATAAGATAAGAGATAAGATAAGATAAAACTTTATTAATCCCTCGGGTGGGTTCCTCTGGGAAATTCGGTTTCCAAAAGCACAGCACCGACAGAAGTTACAGTTACAGAATATTATATATATATACACACACACACACACATATATAAATACAGAGACATATATAAATAAAATATATGAAGGGGATAAATAGAATAAATAGGAATAAAAATAAAAATACAAGTGAATTGCACATTTCAAGTATTTAGGTCTATTGCACCATTGACTATTAACAAAAGTATTGCACAAAAGCTATTGCACAGTGAGGTGAAGAGGCACTACAGCTTAGTTGTTCCCCCCTCCTTTGTCCACCTGTCCCCCCCCCCCCAGAGAGGAGTTAAACAGTTTGATGGCGTGTGGGACAAAGGAGTTTTTAAGTCTGTTAGTTCTTGTCTTGGGGAGAAGCAACCTGTCACTGAACAGACTCTTCTGGTTGTTAATGGCCGTGTGCAGAGGATGCCCAGCATTGTCCATAATGTCCAGCAGTTTTTTTAGTGTCCTTTTCTCTGCCACTGTCACCAGAGTGTCCAGCTTCATGCCGACCACAGAGCCAGCCTTCCTGATCAGTTTCTCCAGCCTGCATGAGTCCTTCTTTGCTGTGCTGCTCCCCCAGCACACCACAGCTTAGAAAAGTACTCCAGCAACCACTGACTGGTAAAACATCCTCAGGAGCTTCCTGCAGATGTTAAAAGACCTCAGCCTCCTGAGGAAGTACAGTCGGCTTTGGGCTTTTTTATACAGGTGCTCTGTGTTGCATGACCAGTCCAGTTTATTGTCCACCCACAGCCCGAGGTACTTGTACTTGTTGACCACCTCCACCTCCTCCCCCTCTGTCTGAACCGGCAGTGGACCTTCTCTGGACCTCCCGAAGTCCACAATCAGTTCCTTAGTCTTTGAGGTGTTGAGTTGCAGGCGGTTTGTGTGACTCCATGCGACAAAGTTCCTCACCAGACTTCTGTACTCCTCTTCCTGATCATCCCAGATACACCCCATGATGGCTGTGTCATCTGCAAACTTCTGAATGTGGCATAATTCAGAGTTGTAGCAGAAGTCAGAGGTGTACAGGGTGAAGAGAAGAGGGGACAGCACAGTTCCCTGTGGTGCTCCTGTGCTGCTGACCACAGTGTCAGACGTGATGTCCTTCAGCCTGACAGACACAACTGAAAGTTCCATCTCTCCATCTCAGCTCCATAATAAAATACTGAGCAGGAAAACACAAAGAAGGAATTTCATATTTGGACATTGTTAGGTGTGGTATAACAAGGCCATTCATAGTCTTGGCGATGCATACAGAGAAAGAGGCTCGTAGACACAAGTGACGCCTTTTATTTCATGGTATGGGAATAGCCTCGGGTGACTACTTTTCATGCACCACACAAAGTCTAGAAAGATGCTTTTCGCTGGCTTAACACCTGCTAAAAATGTGGTCACCACCAGGTGGAAACGCCATGTGCTAGTTGAATTGAATGAGACCCCCTCCAGCCCAATCTCTTTCTCTCCATCTGTTTATTTCTTTGATACTCTCAAGTTGAATTCTTCTTCTTCTTGATCTGATTCCCATGCTTGTTTGTTTTTTGGTTAATATGCCCTTATTTACCAACCTTTATCCCTGAAAACATCGGACTGTCTAAACCTCCTGAAAATCATGCATCTTAAAACTACGCCTCACATCAACAAGTTATAACAATCCAAACATTGCCATCCTTTTCAACTACGAGACCAGAGATTTCTTTCTAACGTGCCAATATTTCAGCGGCACAAACGCAGCCAGCAGAGGGCATCGTTACGTTTAGAAACGTTACGTTTAATAGTTGTCATTTTACACATTACCAGTAAATTGGGTTTAAATGTATTTCTAAGGGGGGAATCGTATTCTTAGTCAGAGCTGTCTCTCTCCAATATTATCAGTCTTAAAACTGTCAGTCTGGCTTATTATCTGTACACTGCAGGAAATGTTAGTTCTGCCTATTATTTCTGCACAAATCTAGTTTTTTTTTTCTTGAAGCAGATGTTGAGTGAAATTAATTATCAGCTTTGAATTCGACAGATAGATTCCTTCCTCAGCTCCCTCTCTCAAATGTCTTTCCGTTCTTTCCCATCTCCATGCTTTGCAATGAAACCAATAAACACAGCCTACTATATTCAAACTACAGCAATAAAAAGAATACATAGTAAAGTATAGCCTATGCCGCTCTGGAAAATGTGAGCAATTGGAACATTTGAGATGCCTTCAAGGACTGTTGAAAAATACAAATTCACTCGCTGAACAACTATGTATGCTTAGGCCTGGACAGCATTACTGGAGCTTTAATAGTATACAAGATGGGTGTCACCAACTTCAGTGTCCTGCTACCACGTGTCCCATCTGAATTCATAATCACCTTTGGCCTGAATTGAGCTCTTCTTTCCTTACAGTATTATTATTATTATTATTTTCTATACCGACCTTTTATCCTGCCTCTGCCTCTGCCACCGAAGAAAACGGGCTTTTCCTGGAATGAAAGAGCTGGTAAAACATTTGGCAATACATTTGAATTTTTATTAAGATACCGTGGCTCGTGATAGACGAGAGCCCGAGTTTCGGTTTGCACGTAAAGGCAGCATCTTTTAACCGCCCACACTGTTGCCGAACAGGAGCTGCGAAGAAGCAGCAGCCGGAGCGACAGACTGTGGGTTAAGTTTGTCCGCCCTGGCTTACCATCACGAGTCTACGGGTCTTTGTTTCTGTGATGAACAAGTACCTCCGCTTTCGCTTAAAATTCACACCCAAAGTAGAGGCGTTAGAAACGGTCAAGTGTGCTCGTGACATTTTGCATAGTTTGTAGCACAGACAGAGAAACAGGAAAGGAGAGAGGGAGGGAGAAGTGCGAGC